GTGTATAGGAAAGCCACAGATTTCTGTGTGTTAATTTTGTATCCTGCAACTTTACTGTATTCCGATATCAGTTCTAGTAGTTTTGGAGTGGAGTCTTTGGGGTTTTTTATGTACAATATCATGTCATCTGCAAATAGTGACAGTTTAACTTCTTCTTTACCAATCTGGATTCCTTGTATTTCTTTGTTTTGTCTAATTGCTGTGGCTGGGACCTCCAGTACTATGTTAAATAACAGTGTGGAGAGTGGGCATCTCTGTCTTGTTCCCGATCTCAGAGGAAAAGCTTTCAGCTTCTCGCTCTTCAGTATGATGTTGACTGTGGGTTTATCCTATATGGCCTTTTTTATGTTGAGGTACTTGCCCTCTATACCCATTTTGCTGAGAGTTTTTATCATGAATGGATGTTGAATTTTGTCGAATGCTTTTTCAGCATCTATGGAGATGATCGTGTGGTTTTTGTCTGTCTTTTTGTTGATTTGGTGGATGATGTAGATGGATTTTTGAATGTTGTACCATCCTTGCATCCCTGGGATGAATCCTACTTGGTCATGGTGTATGATCCTTTTGATATACTTTTCAATTCGGTTTGCTAATATTTTATTGATTATTTTTGCATCTACGTTCATCAGGGATATTGGTCTGTAATTTTCTTTTCCAGTAGGGTCTTTGCCTGGTTTTGGTATTAGGGTGATGTTGGCTTCATAGAATGAGTTTGGGAGTATTCCCTCCTCTTCTATTTTTTTGGAAAATGTTAAGGAGAATGGGTATTATATCTTCTCTGTATGTCTGATAAAATTCCGAGGTAAATCCATCCAGCCCAAGTGTTTTTTTCATGGGTTGTTTTTTGATTACCGCTTCAATTTCTTTGCTGGTAATTGGTTTGTTTAGATTTTGTGTTTCTTCCTTGGTCCATTTTGGAAGGTTGTATTTTTCTAGGAAGTTGTCCATTTCTTCTCGGTTTTCCAGCTTCTTAGCATATAGGTTTTCATAGTAGTCTCTGATAATTTTTTGTATTTCTGTTGGGTCCGTCGTGATGTTTCCTTTCTCATTTCGCATTCTGTTGATGTGTGTTGATTCTCTTTTTCTCTTTAGTCTGGCTAGAGGTGTATCTATTTTGTTTATTTTCTCAAAGAACCACCTCTTGGTTTCATTGATTTTTTCTATTGTTTTATTCTTCTCAATTTTGATTATTTCTTCTCTGATCTTAATTATGTCCCTCCTTCTGCTAACTTTGGGCCTCATTTGTTCTTCTTTTTCCAGTTTTGATAATTGTGATGTTAGACTATTCATTTGAGTTTGTTCTTCCTTCTTTATGCATGGATTGCTATATACTTTCCTCTTAAGACTGCTTTCGCTGCGTCCCACAGAAGTTGGGGCTTTGTGTTGTTGTTGTCATTTATTTGCATATATTGCTGGATCTCCATTTTAATTTGGTCGTTGATCCATTGACTATTTAGAAGTATGTTGTTAAACCTCCATGTGTTTGTGAGCCTTTTTCCTTTCTTGGTACAATCTACTTCTAGTGTTATACCTTTGGGGTCTGAAAAGTTGGTTGGTAGGATTTCAACCTTTTGAATTTACTGAGGCTCTTTTTGTGGCCTAGTATGTGGTCTATTCTGGAGAATGTTCCATGTGCACTTGAGAAGAATGTGAATCCTGTTGCTTTTGGGCGTGAAGTTCTATAGATGTCTATTAGGTCCATCTGTTCTACTGTGTTGTTCAGTGCCTCTGTGTCCTTACTTATTTTCTGTCTGGTGGATCTGTCCTTTGTAGTGAATAGTGTGTTGAAGTCTCCTAAAATGAATGGATTGCATTGTATTTCCTACTTTAGTTCTGTTAGTATTTGTTTCACATACGCTGGTCCTCCTGTGTTGGGTGCGTATATATTTATAATTGTTATATCCTCTTGTTGAACTGAGCCCTTTATCATTATGTAATGTCCTTCTTTATCTGTTCTTACTTTCTTTGTTTTGAAGTCTATTTTGTCTGATATTAGTACTACAACACCTGCTTTTTTCTCCCTATTGTTTGCATGAAATATCTTTTTCCATCCCTTGACTTTTAGTCTGTGCATGTCTTTGGGTTTGAGGTGAGTCTCTTGTAAGCAGTATATAGATGGGTCTTGTTCTTTTATCCATTCAGTGACTCTATGTCTTTTGATTGGTGCATTCAGTCCATTTACATTTAGGGTGATTATCGATCGGTATGTACTTATTGCCATTTCAGGCTTTAGATTCGTGGTTACCAAAGGTTCCAGGTTACTTTCCTTACTATCTAAGAGTCTAACTTAACTCACTTAGTATGCTGTTACAAACACAATCTGAAGGTTCTTTTCTATTGCTCCTCCTTTTTCTTCCTCCTTCATTCTTTATATATTAGGTATCAAATTCTGTACTTTTTGTCTATCCCTTGATTGACTTTGGAGATAGTCTATTTAATTTTGCATTTGCCTCGCAATCAGCTGCTCCACCTTCCCTACCATGATTTTACTACCTCTGGTGACAGCTATCCAACCCTAGGAACACTTCCATCTATAGTAGTCCCTCCAAAA